ATTTTATAACAAAAAAAAATTTTTTTTAATTCTGTTATATTTACCTTTTATAATGAACTTGACATAATTTATATATACAGTGGTGTGTAAAAAAAAGACAATTTTAAAAATCACGTTATTTCGATGATTAGCAAATCAATTAAAATGTATTTTATATCATTTGAAAGTTAAAAATCAGCAGATTTTATTAAAAAAAATTTAATATGATATTCGTTCACCATTTTTTTCAATAATCTCTTTACAATGTTGTGGCATTAAATTTACAAGATTAATTAGAATACTATTTGGAATTTTTTCCCATTCTTCACCTAAAAAACTTTCTAATTCGGTAATATTTTTTGGTTGACGTAATTCCACATTCCTCTTAACAATTGCCCAAAGATTTTTGATAGGATTTAGGTCCGAACTATTAGAAGGCCAATCCATAACTTCTCGAACATTATTATTAAGAAATTCTTTGGCAATACGGCTGGTGTGCTTCGGGTCATTATCTTGTTGTAGTCGCCATCGTCCTTTTAACATTCTATTAACCTCCGGAAGATATTTTTCTAAGATTTCTACATAAAATTTTCCATCCATTATACATTTAAAACAGAAAAGACTTGTTTTTCCTTTTGTACAAAATCCCCCCACGCAAAAATTTTAGTTCGATCCTTTGGCATACGACGAACTGGTCTTGTTTCCTTGTACCAGTGTCTAATTGTTTTGCGGAATAGTTGAAAAGATGTTTCGTCGCTAAAAAGTGTTTTTTTCCAGTTATCATCTTTATGTTTTTGTGTCCATTCGACACGTTTTTCTTTATAAGTAGATGTGAGCATTGGTGTACTGAAAGGAAGAGAATTCCAGTATCCATGGTCGGCCAAATGTCTTGAAACTGTTGACTGGGAGACATTTATTCCAATATCTTCTAATTTAGAAGCAAGAGCCCCCGCGGAAATTGATGGTTACCTTCGAACATACTGCCCAAGAGCACGAGATGATGCCGGCGTTATTTTTTTGATATGTCCATTTTCCCCTTTATGCTTAACGTCGCCAGTTTCTTTTATTTTTTTTTAGGTTTCTATAGATAGTTTTATATGGAATCTTTGTCAATTTGTATATTTCGGCAGCTTTAGTTATTCCTTGCCTCCAGAAATGTAATATGGTTTGTCGTTGGGTTTCTTGCTTGGAAGGTGCCATTTCAACACTTGTAAAAATATAATTTTTATTATGTGAGAAAATTTTTATTATCACAGGATGATCAAGCGATCATATGGCTTTTATTTGTGTATTAGTTTGTGTAATTTCTGCCAAAATCGGGTTTGTTACATTTGCAAATCATTTTTTAAAAAAATTGTCATTTTTTTTACACACCACTGTATCTTGTCGTACCTTTATATACGCTTCACATGATACTTTGTTGTCAAAAGTATCATTATCCTGTGTATCAATTAGCAGGGTAGATAAGTCTACTGTAATGGTTAGGATAAATGATGGAATAGTAAACTCTTCATCATCAAATATAACGGATCCGATCTATGCATTCAAAAGTAGTAAAGGGTTAAAAGGCATTTCTTGAAATAAAACAAAATATTAAATTATTTTTTGACCTTGTTTGGTGGTGTAGAACACTAGTCGAAAATTGATAAATAATACACATATCAGGTACCTGATATGTGCATGGTACGTCCCTAATATTGGACATATATCGGATACCCGATATGTGTAGAAAATATTTTATATATATATCAGATACCTGATAAGTGTAAAAAAATATTTTCTACACATATTGGGTACTCGATATATGCTCGATATTAGGGACATATCATGCACATATCAGGTACCTGATATGTGTATTATTTATCAATTTTCGACCAGTGGAAGGTACCTCTTCCTTGTAAGGTCGCTTTTGTCTGATGGCTACAGATTCCAAATTCTCGATCCTTATATGCGACTCATTCAACAGATCTTTTTCAATCTGTTTGGTAATTGTTTCTCGTAATAAATAATCCTGGTTTCAGATATCTTTTGTCATATCCAGAATCTGTCTGGTCTAAAATGAACTTTTCAATATACTAACATTGAATTAGGTGTAATAAGGTATCAAGTAAACATAACTAACCTATTCGAGATGAACATTGTTTCTTAGTTCGTTCTTTGCCAGATAAATTCAATATTATTAGGAAGTATATCAAAACAATAAGCTATTAAATTTCGGATATACCATAAAGACAACTTACCTTTTGTAACTGAACTTTCTCTTCAAGTATTTTGCTCTCTATATAAATGGTTTGAAACTTCGTTTGTAAATCTCAAAAAGGAATTAATGATTACAATTTTTTATCAAACTTGTTAAGAAAGAATGTGAGAGAATGTTAATAAATCTAGAGAATATTAATAAATCTAAAGAAAACATTTGACCAGCCTGAAACAGCAAAGAAATATGCAATTTCTCTCTCGAAACATTAACAACCCACTAACATACAGCTCACTGTATGCTCACCAACTGACTGCAGTCTTTTTTCACTACTAACTGCAATTGACAGGGTAGTTAGTGACGGAGTGCTAAAGTGTTGCACTGAACATTAACATATAACTTATTATATGCTCACCAACTGACCACGGTCTTTTCCCACTGCCAACCGTAATTGACAGGGTAGTTAGTAACAAAACTAATATAACTCAGGCTGTTTAATCAATCAAAAAATTAAATTGCTTGCCTTAAATGAGTTAATTAAATTTGTTACTTTTTTCCCAATTTCGGACATTTCAGAATAGTACCTTTTGATCGTATCCAATTCACTTTTGTACTGAGAATACTCTGTTTTTTTATCTTTTAAAATATCTTTTTGAAATCAAAAATCTAGATATTTTTTAAGTGAAGGATTGTCTGTACTTTTCTAAAAGTTTACATATTTATAGATGATAATTTATATTACAAATTATTCTTATAAGAAATCACTCCTATTTTAGCTTACCGTAGATTTTCAGTTTGTTAAGACAAACGGTCAACAGGTTCATTTGAGAAAGTACAGTTAAGTCACAAAAATCATGATATATACTAATGTATTCCTTGATTATTATATTACGTATTATTACACATAGCACAAAACTTTAGTCACGTGCGTTGTTATCATGGATTTTCTCCACTTTTATAATTTCTTATTATTTTATTTTATTTTATTCTTATTTGTATTTATTTTATTAGTATAGCTATTTAGTATATTTTAG